GAGAGCCACAATGTGAAAACCACCCGCCCTTACTCCGTGAATGTCTTCCGTTTTTTTGTTAAACGAACGTGCGCGGCGCTGAGGCGAGCGCCACATTTTGAAAACGGCCCGCTCTCAATCCGTGAAACCCTTGCAAAGTTTGAAACGATTGTGCGGAGAGCCACATGTTGAGAACGGCCCGCCATCCATTTGTTAAACTGTTGCCCGGCCCGCCCTAAAAACTTGCCTCGGGGTGCGGCAGGGAGAAATTATTGATAAGGAGAAGTCATGGAGGAGGAAGAGGAGGAGGAGTTGAGGAAATGTGGGGGGGGAGGACGCGGAGGAGTAATATGGAGGAGGGTGACGACGGCGAGGAACGAGGAAGTGGGCCGAGAGGGAGGACGGGGGGGAAGTGGATGGAGCAGTGGGAACTGGAAGGAGAGGGCAGGGGTCATGGGATGAGGATGGGGATGCGGAGGGGCGCGATGACGACGATGATGATGATGATGATGCTGATGCTGATGCTGATGCTGCTGATGATGATGATGATGATGATGATGATGATGATGATGATGATGTTGATGACGATGACGATGATGATGATGATGATGAGGAGGATGATGATGCTGATGCTGATGCTGATGCTGATGCTGCTGCTGCTGATGATGATGATGATGATGATCCTGCCGCTGCTGATACAGCTCATTGTGATGATGATGCTGATGACGAAGAGGATTTCTATGTGGATGATGATACTGATTGTAATGATGATGCTGATGATTTTGGTGATGCTGATGCTGATGATGATTGTGGTGGTAAGAATGATGATGCTGTGGATGATGGTTATGATGCTGATGATGCTGATAGTGGTGGTGGCGGTAATAACGGTGATGATGAGGATGATGATGGTGGTGGTATGATGATGATGTTAATGTTGCTGATGATGATGACTATGATGCTGAGGATGAGGATACTGATGATGCTGGTGATGATAATGTTGCTGCTGATGATGTTGATTATGGTGATGATGATGATGGTGGTGGTGGCCGTGGTGGTGGTTGTGGTGATGATGATGATGAGGAGGAGGAGGAGGAGAAGAATGAGGAGGCGGAGAAGGAGCAGGAGGATGACGACCTCGACGAGAAGGGAGAGGAGAAGGAAAAGGGAGGAGGAGGAGAAGGAGGAGGAGGAGGCGAAGGAGGAGGAGGAGGAGGAGGAGGAGCAGGAGGAGGTGGAGTGCGCGGCAAGGGCAGTGCCACTATTACTGTGTAAGGGCAGGTGCAGTGGCAGTGGAGCTGGAGGGGGAGGGCGAGGAGAGGCGGACAGGGGGGACGGAGGAGGGAGAGGAAGCAGGAGGAGAGGAGCTTCGCTGGTCCTCTACTCTAGAGTGGGGTGCGTCGACCATACTGACCTCCCGGTCAACACCCCCGACGATGCTGAACAAGTTGACGGTACTCCCGGAACCAACAGTGCCGCTGATGCCCACGACGGCGTTGCCGACGCTGTCGGCCGCTGATGCCTTTGGCGCGGCCGCCCAACCCGCCGATCGCTCCCATCGATGCTGCCCACGCCCCGTCCCCAGCAGGAGCCGCAGCCTCCGCCGCGCGCGCGGCTTGTTTGTCGCCGCTGCCTCTGTATTTCCTTTTCTGTGGGTCATGCCGCCCTCCGACGGCTGACCACAAAAGAGGTTGCGACAGACTCCGCCGCACGTGGCTTGCCGCCGCTGCGCACATGCTTTCGTCGGCGCTGCTGGCCAAGCCGCCCATGCCTTGGACAGTGTTGTCGACGCCGCCGATGTCGTCGACGATGCTGCCGACGCCGACGCAGCTCGCCACGAAGCCTCCGATGCCGGCGCTGCCGCCGATGACGCGAGCCCCATCTCAGGCAGCCTTCTGCTGATGAGCACGGCCGAGCCGAGCGCGCCTCACTTCGGGGCGCCCTCGCCCTCGCCGACGTCCCTGATGCGGTCGGGCACTTCTGGATAGCGTGAAGGCGGGCCTGTCCCCCTGCAGGAGGAATCTTCAGGAGTAGTCGAAAAACCGTCCGGGGATGGTCTCTCGAGTGTGCTTGAACACTTGTGGCTATTGTCTGACTGCTTTTTTATTTAATCGCTTCGCTCATTCCGCCTGCCCTGGAGCGCTATTTGTGGCCTCTTGGGGCCGTCTTGGGGGCTTCTTGGGGGCTTCTTGGGAGCGTCTTGGGGCTCCTTGGCGGCTGCGTATTGGGCTCCCCTGGGGCCTCTTGGGGGGCTCTTGGGGGCCCCTTGGGGCGGGAGGGGGGGTAGGGTAGTCGTTGGCAGCCCCCCCCTCGGAGGCCACGATCCTCGTGAGGGGTGGCGAAAAATAGCCTCCCCCCTGGGGATCGCCCGGGGATCAGCCGGGGATCGGCCGGGTACTTTTCGTCCGGGGCCCCCCAGGGGCCGCCCCGCGCGCGCGAATTAGAAGTATTGTTAAGTAGTTACCCGAGATCTTAGCACGGTTCCCCAGAAAATCGAGCCGATTCCCAAGAAAATCTAGGAAAACATGGGCAGTGGTGGGGAAGACAGAAGCCCAGAACATATGGGAAGATATGGAGAATCCTTTCACCTATGTGTCTTTGTTTGTGTGTCCCAGGGCCCCCTTCAGAAGTGGTTCGGGGTCGGAGTAGATGGGGTCGGAGTAGATGGGGTCGGAGGATCGCGCCGCATCGCCGATACATCGGCGATGCGGCTCGATGTGCAGCCCGACTTGCTTCACGTCGACGTCGCCGATGCATCGCCGATGTCGACGATGCATCGCCGGTGCATCGCCGATGCATCGCCGGTGCATCGCCGATGCATCGCCGATGCATTGGCGATGCGGTGCGATCTTCGGACCCCATCTACTCCGACCCCATCTAGGAGGCCTCTCGTGGTGGGGAAGACAGAAGCCCAGAAAATATTGGAAGATATGGGGAATCCTCTCACCTTTGTGTCTTTGTTTGTGTGTCCCAGGGCCCCTTAACAGAAGTGGACGGCGTCCCGCACCGGAGCGTGGTGGGCCAGAGCCCGCGGAGCGGCACGCTATCCTTACGTTGAAGTCGGGCACGCCCCTCCACAGGAGGAACATTCAGAGATAGTCGGGGGACGATTTTTTGAGCATGTCTTGAATATGTTTGTCCACTTTTTGACGGGTAGTCCTAATTTGTCGCCCAGAACCCGCCTGTGGGGGGACATGCCCGACCCAACCGTAAGCCGGGCACGTCCCTCTCTACAGGAGCAGTATCCAAGAATAGTTAAGAACATGGTCTGGGGAGGACCTCCCGGCTGTTTGTGGCCAGCTCTGAGAGTATGTATGATCATTGTACAGTGCCGTTTTTAATACATGCTCCGCGTGCGGATCATGTATTAAAAATGCAGGGATTTAGTATTAAAAACAACGATGAGTTCATGCATACATGCATTCATAAATTAGTCATGCATTAAAATCCTATATGCTTAAACATCCTATGTATCAAAGGCTGCCCTGTACTTCTGTCTTCCGACAGCCGCCTGCAGGAGGGCGTGCCCGACCGAACGCGACCCAGCAGCTCCCGACGGCAGACGCCCCGACGGCGGGCCGCGCGATAGGTGCCCACGCGGACCCTCGGCGCGCCACGGCGGCGCCCGCACCCCGCCCGCGGGCGCTCGCGCGCGCCCTCGACGCGGCCCCGCGCAGCCCGCGCCGGCAGCACGCGCCCGCGGCCCGCACTCCTCGCGCCCGCGGCGGGGCGCCCGCCGCCGCGGCGGCGCCCGCCGAGGGGCCGCCGCGGCGGCGCCCGGAGGTGCGGCGGCTGCGACGGGCAGGGCGGCGGCATCGCCGGGAAGGGCGGCCTCGCGGAGCAGAAGAAAGAACACGACGGGGGCCCCAAGGGGGCCCCAGCTTCCGGCCTCGCTCTCTCCAGCCCGGGTCGGCCCAGAGATCCGGCGTCGTGGTCGTGTCAAGTGCGGGAGGTCCCCAGGAGTCTCGACCGACATATTCCCCGGGACTGGTGTTTCATCCTGAGTCGTGTCTGAAAAGTCCGTGGGCCTGGCGAGGAGGAGGAGGAGGAGGAGGAGGAGGAGGAGGAGGAGGAGGAGGACGAGGAGGAGGGAGGAGGAGGAGGAGGAGGAGGAGGAGGAGGAGTCGACGTGGCCGTGGCGTGCATTCTTGGGGCCCGCATCCGGGCGAGGGCGCCCGCCGCCGCCCCTCGCGGCCCGCGCGCTGGCCGCGCGGTGATCGCCGCGGGGCCCCTCGGGCGGCGCGCCGCCCGCGAGGGCCACCACCGCTGCGCCGCACGCGGCGCGGCGCCGGCGGGCCGCCGGGCGCCCTCAGGAGGAGGAGGAGAGGAGGAGAGGAGGAGGGAGGAGGAGGAGGAGGAGGAGGAGGAGGGAGGAGGAGGAGTAGGAGGAGGAGGAGGAGGAGGAGGAGGGAGGAGGAAGGAGGAGGGGAGGTGCAGGGAGCAGGAGCAGGAGCAGGAGGAGGAGGAGGAGGAGGAGGAGGAGGAGGAGGAGGAGCATGAGGCGGAGGAGGAGGAGCAAGAGGAGGAGGAACAGGTGCCGATACCGCTACCCTCGAAGAAGAAAGGCGCCATGAACGTAAGTTTTGGGCGCTCCTCGCGGGGGGCGGAGGGAGGGGGCGAGGAGAGGAAAAAAGGGGGGGAGGGTGGAGGGGGGAGGAGCGAGCTCTCTCCACCGCCTGAGGCCCCAGCCTGGGCCGAGATGCGGCTTGCAGTCAGCAAGAAGGGGATCTCCAGGGTGGCCTTTGCCTTGCACCCGTCCCGCGCGACGAGCGGAGAAGGGGTGGGGCGAGTGACGACGGCCGTCTCAGAAATCAGGGGTCCCAGTAGAGGCCCTCCCGACTTCTAAGAAACCCTATTTCGTGGAGGCCTCCTAGCCCTCCTGTATGATAGGCCCCCTCCCCTGCCTTCTTAGGAGACCACCCCCTCTCCTCGCCCCTCCTCTGCGCGCCGCGAATTCGGAATGGGTGCTCTCGGGCCTCTCGCGGGGGCGGGTGCCCACCGAGCTCGCCGGAATCCCGTCCGCCAGCCACTGCCATGCTGGCCCGAGCGCGACTAGCATGGCCCCCCGACCAAATGTAGGGACTTTTTCATGGGCGTGCACCGATGCACGCGATGTGTACCGCCTCCACCGTTTTTTGTGCTGGTGCTCAGTAGCTTCAGAGTTCCGACAAGTGCGGCCCTGTGGACTGCGAGAGGTGCGCGGCATGCGTCTCCAGAAGATCCTCCAAAGAGAGAGGTGGTAGTCAAGCAAATCCGAAACGATATCACAGAAGTGGGCTCGGAAATAAGGGCCGTATTCAATTCCAGTATATCTAAGGCAGTTGCTGACGACTTTGACAGATTTGGTTACATATGGATGGGTGGATGGCGCGTCAGGTGGCCTGTGCTCATCGTTGAACTGAGTGAGCTTTTCATATGTCTCGCGTGGTTAGTATATTATGCCGTCTTTCTGCATAAGGATGAGAATCCGCAGATTTTGAGAGATTGGCATGCCAGGGTTGATCATCACGATTATGTGGGAAGCCCGTTACGAGGATGCGCCAACATCAACCGTGAGGATTCCGCCGAGCTGGAACCAGACCTCGTGCTCGTATTCCATCATCCAGACGCCGCCCATCCAGACGACCTTCAGGACATGTCGCTGGAAGACGTGATCCATGTGATTCATCCATCCCTTCGGCTGGACCACAAAAGCGCGTCAATCCCGTTGGACGCCGTGCTCTCCAGGATGTTGTCCACGCTCGGCGTGCAGGCGTCGGAGTTGTGGAGCGATCAGGGAGACGCGGAGACCGACCGCTGGAAGCAGATTTTGAGTCGAAGTGTTCGCCAGCCCAGGCGGCAGCTGCGGACATGTTTCCTGCAAGATGTGGTTCAACTGCTGAGCGAGAATATGCACTTCCACACGGAGGCCTTCCGGTCAGAGAGCGGCACGGGGCTGCACGTGGCCGTCAGTTTGAGGAGCCCGGAGGTCACGCGCCATTACATCGCCAAGAACGACATGTACTTGCAGATCAGGCAGGACGCCTGCTCCTCTACACCTTAGGCGATGCTTAGGAAAACTTAGGTTTTCGGCCAGAGTCTCGATTATTCTTAATGTTTCAATGTAGATCCCAAGATTTTGATAGAAGTTCTGGGCTTTCATTCCAGTTCTGAGACTCTGAATTTCTTAACCCATAATTTCTTAAGCATATCGCAGGGTCTACACTGCCAGCCGCCCCTCTGACACTCCTCGAGAGAGGGTGAGGGTGGCAGAGGGAGGACTGGAAGAGGGGGAGGGCAGTGAGAGAGAGAGAGAGAGAGTGAGAGAGAGAGAGAGTTAGCACAAAAAACACCGAAGAGCATGACGAAACATGCATGTCCTCCTCGAGCGCCCCCCGCCCACGAGCGCCGGGCGGGACACCCAGGGAGCACCTGCACCGTCTCGGGCCGGTGGCCGCGGCATGCCGTCGCCCCTCGCCGAGCGTGCGAGGCAGAGCACCCCGAGGGCACCGGCACAGTTTTTGTCGAGGCCCGGCGGCCGCGGTGTGCGTCGGGGCCCCGCTGTCTCCTCAGCCGGGGCGCGATGCCGAGCTGCTCCGCCAGGAGCACGCACACGCAAGGGCTCCCGCGAGGGCGCGGAGTGATTCCCGCTCCGCGGTCCTCGCTCCTTCTCCCCCTCCTCCTCGTCCTCCTTTTCTCCCTTTGGGGGGGGGGCGGCGCGAGAGCGCGAAGTCATTCGCGCTTCGCGGAGCGCGAAGCGCGACGTTGGGAGCCCCAGCAGACATGTCCAGACGAGCTGCTCAGGGACGATCGCGAAACAAAAGCAGCTGACGCCGCAGGCAGGACGTGATAAAGGAGCTCGGGGTCCACCAGCCCCGCGACGAGTTCGCCTCGTCGCCGCCCTACATCCCCTACGACACGAAGGTCGTGCGCGAGCTGTTCGCCGCTGGGAGGCTCCCCTCCGAGGACCTGGGCGGACGGCAGCGGGGGGGGGGGCAGGAACGTGGCCCTCACGGGGTCGCCCGGCAGAGTGGTGGTCGAGTGTGCTCGGAGCGGATGGAAAGGACAGACGTCGAAGGATCGAGGATTACCCTGGCATCGCTCGGACGTGTGCATTTTGTCTCGGCGAGGGCGATCGAGGAGCAGCCTTGCTCATTTGGCGAAAAAGCCGCGCACGAAACCGAACAAAAAGCACAGGGAATGGACGTCCGAGCGATGGCCAGTTACCCCTGGAACAGAAGCCCTGACCTGCCACCACGGGCCAGAGAAGGGTAGCGCGCGAGGCGCACGTTTCCTCAGCCCATGCTTAGCAGCACGCCCACGAATTACCAGCCTGGAACATCTCCCCATCCCTATGCTGGGCACCTCCTCCTCACGACGCCAATCTCAGGGAGTCCCTTCTTTTTTGAGGGCGCATCCCTGAGATTGCCATCGCCTTCTGGCGTGTCGATCTTGGGGATAGGGGATACGTTCGAGGCTGGTAAATGAACGAACGCCCGAGAGGACGAGCACAAGCTCTACAAGAAGGTGGGCCCCATGTCGTCTCGCAACCGCTTCCGCGTCATCCACAACGAGCTCTCTGGACTCGTGGACCTCGACGCCGCGAAGGATCAGGGGGAGGGCGAGTGGAGAACACGGTAGGTGGCCTTCGGGGAGCCCCCTCGTCAACACGGTTGGGCGCAGCTCGGGACTCTGGTGTTTTCGGAAACCAGGAGGGGTTTGGAGATCGATTCAGAGTTGCCGTTGTCTCAATTCGCCCTGGCTTGAAAGGAAGCGCGATTGATTTTGGACTGGTACCCGTCGCACGAGAGCGCCAAGCTGGACAGGCTCTTCGACGTCTGGGGCGATTGGCGCAACCTGGGGATGGCCCAGCCGCTGCCCTGGATCCGCGAGTACTTTGGGTCCAGGGTCGCCTTTCAGTTCGCCTGGAACCGCGGGGTCTCAGTGGAATGCCCACGCTCCTCCGGCCCCCTCCTCCCCTGCTCCCCCTCCCCCCCTCCTCCCCTCCTCCCCCCCTCCCCCCCCCTCCCCCACCCCCCCATGCCAAGCCACGCCTTCGGCGCGCGAGGGATCCCCGCGGGGGCGCAGATGGCTCGACGCGGAGATCCCCGCATCGACGCACGCCAGCTCCCGGCGCTCCCGTCGTGGCGAGCGCCCGGGCGAGGACGCAGGGATCTCACCCCCTTGCGGCGGCCGAGAGCGCCCCCCGGCGGCTTCCTGCCTCCCCCCCCCCCCCCCGTGGAGCGCCCGGCTGCGACGGGCCGCAGCGGCGGCCGGGGCGTGCCTCTCCCCGGCGGTGGTTCCCCCCCGGGGCTGCCCACGTGCTGCGCTGAAGTCGGGCGTGTCCCGTCTGCAGGAGGAATATATCCAGAAATAGTCCAACAAACCGTCTTGGGGCTACGTTTTGATCATCCGTTGTCTGGTTAGGGGCATTTGGGGGGTTATCGTTTGACCTTTTCACCCCAACTCCGCCTGCAGAGGGGGACATGCCCGACCTGATGCTACGCCTTGCTGGGTCGCGGTGATCACAGGGTTTTCAAATGGAGCGTGCTCCTTTCTTGCTTGGGGCACAGTGGGCATCATAGCCCCCCCCCGCCCCCCCCCCTTTAACGCAACGCCCCCCCCCACCCTCCAGTGCGCTCCGGACACTGCCGCCGTGCGCACGGCGGGAGGGAGGCATTACATTATACCCCCCCCCCTTGGCACCTCCCCCCCTCCACCCCTCCCAGAATGCCCATGATCGCCGAAAACAAAGAAACGCGCTCATGCACTCTTCTTATCAGCACTTCTTTCAGTAGGGGAAGAAACACACAGACACAATTAATCGTCGACTCCCCAGAAAGCATGGGAAAGTATGGGAAGTGGGGGGGGAAGACAGACACCCAGGAAATGTGGGGAAATAGGGGGCATCTTTTTATGTGTGTGTATTTATTCGTGTGTCCTGGGGCCCCTTTCCTCTTATCGGGATCAAGGCCACAAAAGTGCGGTGGCCGCGCCGCACGCCGCGCGAGGCGGCGCACCGGCCAGAGTGCTGGAGCCAAGGGCGGAGCAGGCGGCGCGGCACGGGCGGGCGGCCCCCTCGCAGGCCAGAGTGCTCGAGCTACTTCGGGTGGTCCGAGGGCGGACGCGAACGGGAGCGTGGCCCCCTCCCTGGCGTTATGTCGGGCGTGTCCCCCCACAGGGGGATTTTCGACGAAAAGTAAAAAATACCCCCAAACTACACCAAAAAGGAAACACAAAAATGCCCAAAAGATAGTCCCCAGACTATTTTTGGAGTATTTTTTGATTATTTTGGGGGTATTTTTTATTTTTCGTCGAAAATCCCTATCCCTCAGATTGACACGCCGCCAAGAGGCGATGACAATCTTGGGGATGCGCCCCCTCCAAAAATGAGGGCATCCCTAAGATTGGCATCGTGATGAGGAGATGCCCAGCATAGGGATAGGGAGATGTTCCAGGCTGGTAGAGAGTGCTCGAGCTACTTCGGGTGGTCCGAGGACGGACGCGAAGAGGAGCGCGGCCCCCTCCCTGGCGTTATGTCGGGCGTGTCCCCCTACAGGCGGATTTTCGACGAAGCATACAACATACCCTCAAAATACACCAAAAAGGTAAAACAAAATCCACAAAATAGTCCCCAGACTATTTGTGGAGTATGTTTGTATTATTTTTGGGGTATTTTTTATTTGTCGTCGAAAATTCCCCTGTAGGGGGACAGGCCCGACTTAACCCTGGCGGCCCTCCCCTGGGGTGCCCAAGTGCCACGCCTGAGCTCGCTGCGGCCATCGGGCTTGCAGGAGAGAAAGATGAGTCCGGGGCGCCGAGCCGGGCAGATGGCTCGAGGCATCCCCACAGCCTGGGCGCGCAGGGGCGAGCGTCGTACTCCTGGGCGGGCGGCTCCCCCTTGGCCCCGTGATTCGCTGTTGTCGATGCGGCTTGTTTCTTTCGTAGCAAACGTCGCCAGACTGATTGGAGTTTTCTAGTGGGTTGTTCACCTGTGAGCGTCTCTGAGTCTGGAGGCCTGGGTATGAACTTGAGTGTTATTGTGAGCGAGCCTGAGTATGAGTAATGTGAGTGTGACGAGAGGGCGGTGGAGGCGGGAGTTAGTCAGTGAGTGAGTGAGGAGGCGGGCGTCTCAGAAATACCGAGAACCCCCTCTTAGGATGCAGGAATTGTTTGAATTCCCCCAACCCCTGGGCTGGGGCAAGGTGGGGTAGGTGCAGTGTGGGTGCTCCCCAGGAATGGCCTCTACACGAGAGGGCTCCTTGCCCTGATCCCTGCGGCGCTGCTGTTTGAGCTTGTGGATATGAGGCAGCTCCATGGCCACAAGCGCACCATGCCAGTTTTCGGCCCGGCGCTCGTCATTATCGTTTGGTCGACGGTCCTCCGGGAGGTCTGGGATCAAGAGCAGCATTTTTTCACCACGTTTTGGAGCCTCGATACTGAGCGTATGCGTCGAGCCATGCGCCCGCAATTCAGGGGATCTCGTCGACCTGCGCACTACGACAATAGCATGTTCGAGTTGCACTGGCCCCATGGGCGCACTTCGTCATACGCGTTTCGAAGATTCGTATCGAAGGTGGTCATGTTCGCGTTCTGCTGCATGGTTGCGCCAAGCATCGCCTGGTGGTATCACACATTTTCCCATGATATGAACATGGTCGCGTCCCTCATTTTGAGTGTGCAAATCGCTGTGTTGGACAAAGTGTGTGCCTATGTTGTACGGGGCTTGACTGATTGGGAAAATCATAAGTTCCAGGATGCGTATTTTGATAGCTTTATATCGAAGATGTTTCTTTTCCAATGCGTCAACCACTACCTGCCCTTCATCTACTTGGGTGTGAGGCAGGAGTTCCTGATGCACGGCAACTGTGGGGAAGAGGTGTGCCTTTCTGTTCTGCGAAAGCAGTTGTGTTTGAGGCAGTGTATTTGTCTTCTGGACTGTATCTTCGCGTTCCTCGATTCGGTGGCCCATGTGGAGTGGCAGCTCCGCTGGAGGCGTGTGAAGTTACCGCTGTTGGAGGCATCGGGAGTCGTCTTGATGTGTCGTACCTCCTTGTTTGATCTATGGATTGAAGATTTGAGCCTGTATGATTCAGGCGATTGCGTGACCCCATGGCCCGTCGGTTTGACGCCTTCGACTGGATCCGATTCGATGTCTTCTGCGATTCGATTGACGTTCCTATGCGAAGTGCGTTTGTTGCGCTGCACAGTGATTATTAAGGGGGTTGTTAAGTTGCTTGCGGCACGTCACGCCATCTTGCCAGCGCAGAAATCATGGCAACGCTTCGAGCACTGCTCATAAGGCCGTCACATGTGACACCTCTTCCCTTTATTCTTTGAGGGGCTGTCACCGTGTCTTCCTGAGCCATCTGTCTTGGGGCTGCCTTGGGCTCCTGCGGAAACCTCTGTGGATATGAGTGGGCAGTCTTGGGGTTATCTTGTGCCGTCTTGGTGCCCTCTTGGGCCCCTCTCGGCAGTCTGGGGCGTCTTTTGGGGGGCTGTCTTGGGGCCCACTTGAGGCCATCTTGGGCTGTCCTCGACCCCTCTTGTGTCGTCTTGTGGCTCTCCTGGGAATGTCCTGGGCCGTCTGGGGAGCTTATTCTGGCCGTCATTGTGCTCTTTTGGCTTCTGTTTGGCCCTTTGACTGCCCTCTTGGAACAGTTTTGCGCCAGGAGGGCCAGGAAACGCAACGCATTCGATGGATTGCCTTGGGCTTATAATGTTGTGGACCGGGTTTTCTTGGGTTTTCAATGCTCTTGGCCGTCCTTGAAGGCCTCTCTGGCCTTTTTGTTTGTGTATTCGATGCTTGCTAGGGCCCCTTTGGCGTCTCGTTGGGTCTTCTTGTGGGCTGCTGGATGCCTCTTGAGGCGATGCTGGGCCATCTCGGTGGCCTTGGCGGCCCTCCTGCGCTGTCTTGGAAGCCTTGAGTCAAGTCGGGCGTGTCCCTCTACAGGAGGAATATTCAAAGATAGTCAACAACATAGTCTGGGGACGATGTTTGACAATCTTGGACTATGTTCTCACATTGTTGGGACATGTTTTATTTTTCGCCCGAGATCCCCCTGCAGGAGGACATGCCTGCCCGACCTAATGGAAGCCCTGCGGAGCCCCGGGGGATCCCAGGGAGGCCTGGCCGCCGAGGCAGCCTCGGGAGAGGGGGCGCGCAGCTCATCTTCACCGCGGGGGAGGGGCCGAGGAGGGAAGGAGAGGGAGGGGGGAGAGGAGGCGGAGGAGGGGGAGGAGGAGCTACGCGGGGTTGAGGAGGAGGAGGACAGTCAGCGAGGGATGGACGGAGGGAAGCGAGAAAGCAAGAGCTTGGGGGAGGAGAGGCGGAGACGGCCACGCGGGTAGGGTGAGCAGAAGCGAGCGGAGGCGCAGTCTTACTTCGGGGAGTACCGCACCTTGCAGCAGTATCGGCACACCATGCGGCTGCTAATACCCTTAGGCTCTTCGCTGATATTTGGAGCCGTTGCCCCGATCATGGTGATCATCAATTTTCTCGTCTTCGCCGTGGAGCTCAGGCGGGCGGGGAAAAACGCTTCAGCCAAAGCGTACGGGTTGTTCCCAACCACCATCCTGTGGTGTTGGGTCCTCTTTTGAAGAGACGGTCCCCGCGTTCCTCTCCTCTTCTCCTCTTCCCCCTCCTCCTCCCTCCTCCTTCTTCCATGCGTCTCACCAACCCAGCACAGCGTTTCGTGGCCCCATAGGGAGCTCCACCGAAGCCCCCAGTGGCACCGCCCGCATGCGTCCGCCACCACCCAGCACAGCCCTTGCTCCCTGCGTTTCGCCCACCCAGTATAGTGTTTCGTGGCCCCATAGGATGCTCCACGGAAGATCCCAGTGGCACCGCCCGCTTGCGTCCGCCACCACCCAGCACAGCCCTTGCTCCCTGCGTTTCACCCACCCAGTACAGCGTTTCGTGGCCCCATAGGGCGCTCCACCGAAGAAGATATTCACAATTGCGGTACTCACATCTGCATATGGCTGGGTTCTTCGCCAGGCTAAGTTTCATTGATGGTGTATGTGGTACTGATTCCCATATCCCAATTTACTCCAGGCGCCTTCCTAATTCAAGGAATGGTTTCCCCACTTCCTTCCTCTTCGGGGAGTGGGCGGAAACTCAATACCCATACAACGCCCTCCTACTTCACGTTTCGACCCTCGTCTTCCGATCTGTGGGTCGTTGTCCCATGCCTGCAGCTAGCGTCTGCCGGGCTTGTCATGCCCAAGCTCGTCTGTCGGGCTGTGAGGCTGCTACTTCAACTGGTCGCTACGTAAAGGCATCGGTGGCACCGCTCGCTGGCCCCCAATTGGCCATGCGGCCCCACTTGGAAATCACCGATGCGTCCACAGTCGGGTGTCTGAGCATCATGCGATGAAGAGTCCCAGTGTCTGTGTCGGACGAGACACGGAAGGAGCATGCGCGTCGCATCCTTCTGCACGTCGAGTCGAAATTGCAGGAATGCGAATACCTTCGGGGGATACACGGCGTGCACTGGCGCAAATGCAAGAGTGCCTATGATGGTGGTTGACCCATCGGAAGTGAATCCCTAAGTCATGGGTTTTAGCGACAATGGAGGCCCAATGGAGGCGCATGTCACACTTGCTTCCTCCTCCTGTTCCTCGCCCTCTCCCACCTGCGCTTCCTTGTGCTGTCCAAGCGATTCCTGAAGGTGGAAGGCGAAGAGCTGCCCAGAAGTCTGATGCACTCCGCTTGTGCAGCGCGCTTGTGCTCCGGCTGCGGCTGCGGCATCGGCCATTCGGGGGCGTCTTGCGTGCTGCCGCGGTCCCTGTCGCCGAGGCGGTGTGCCCACGAGTTTCCGCCCTCCTCAGGTGTCAGGCTTACCTGCTGACGACCTACTACAAGCGGCCCGTCCCCCGCATCATGCAGGGCATCGGAGAGATGAAGCACATCGTGGAGCGGCTGACGTTCCCTGGGCCGCCTAGGATTAGGTCGGGCCTGTCCCCCTACAGGGGGATTTTCGACGAAAAATAAGAAATACCCCAAAAATGCTCCAAACATAGTCTGGGGACTGTTTTGGGAGTATTTGTTTGGCCTTTTTGGGGCATGCTTGGGGTATCTTTTATTTTTCGTCGAGAATCCCCCTGTAGGGGGACACGCCCGACATACGCCTAGGACAGCAGACGCCCCGCGGCGAGACGCCGCCCCCTCCTCCCTATGGCGGCACGTGGCCACGTGCGGGTTTGGGGCAGAGCTGCCGCGCTGCGGGTCTTGGCCCGCGGGGAGCCGCCCGTGCTCCCCCCTGCGCCTGGCGGGCCTCCCTCCTCCTCCTCCTCCTCCTCCTCCCCCTCCTCCTCCCCTCCTCCTCCTCCTCCTCCTCCTCCTTCCCTCCCTCCTCCTCCTCCTCCTCCTCCTCCTCCTCCTCCTCCTCCTCCTCCCTCCTCCCTCCTCCTCCTCCTTCTCCTCCTCCTCCCCTCCTCCCTCCTCCTCCTCCTCCTCCTCTCCTCCTCCTCCTCCTCCCCCTCCCTCCTCCCTCCTCCTCCTCTCATCCTCCTCCTCCTCCACTCCTCTCCTCCTCCTCTCCTCCTCCTCCTCCTCCTCCTCCTCCCACCTCCTCCTCCTACCTCCTCCGCCTCCTCCTCCTCCTCCTCCTTCTCCCCTCCTCCTCCTCCTCCACCTCCTCCTCCTCCTCTCCTCCTCCTCCCTCCTCCTCCGCCTCCTCCTCCCGCCTCCTCCTCCTCCTCCTCCTCCTCCTCCTCCACCTCCTCCTCCTCCTCCTCCTCCTCCTCCTCCTCCGCCTCCTCCTCCTCCTCCTCCTCCTCCTCCTCCTCCTCCTCCTCCTCCTCCTCCTCCTCCTCTCCTCCTCCTCCTCCTCCCCCCCCTCCTCCTCCTCTCCTCAATCTCCTCTCCTCCCTCCTCCCTCCTCCTCCTCCTCCTCCTCCTCTTCCTCCTCCTCCTCCTCCTCCTCCCTCCTCCTCCTCCTCCTCCTCTCCTCCTCCTCCTCCTCCTCCTCTCCTCCTCCTCCTCCTCCTCCTCCTCCACCTCCTCCTCCTCCTCCCCCCCCCCTCCTCCTCCTCCTCAATCTCCTCCTCCCATCTCCGCCCCTCCTCCCTCCTCCTCCTCCTCCTCCTCTCCTCCTCCTCCTCCTCCTCCCTCCTCCTCCTCCTCCTCCTCCTCCTCCTCCCTCCTCCTCCTCCTCACTCCTCCTCCTCCTCCTCCTCCTCCTCCTCCTCCTCCTCCTCCTCCTCCTATGGAGCCTCTGGAGCCTCTGCGGACGCAATCCCTCGGTGAAAGACTGGCCCGTTGGGGAAGATTAGTGGACTGGGAAGGGGCGCCCCACCAACACCTTGGATGTGGGATCCATGCCCTGGCGCATGTACTTCAATGCACCTACCTTCCCAGTCCCTGCAAAGCGATGGCAGCGCGCGGCCAAGTCCTTGACCTGCTTCCGCGCGTGGCAACCGCACTGCATACAGAAATACAATTCCGAGCCAAGCACCCACATGCGATGCGACTCGTCCGTCCGCGCAAGCACCCTCGGCTTGCCAGGACACTCATTCTGGATGACTGCACTCCGACGAGCCGCATTCACTCCACAAGATCTGCAACCCCACCTGCCATCAGCGGTGTGCAGCAGGTGGCCTCGATCCCCCGTGGTGAGGTTTAGCACGCACACGGGTTCATCAACTAACATCTGGGTCTGCCTGGGGACCTGTGTAGCCCTCGGGATCTTATCCACATCTGGAAATCCTAAAGTACTCAGGCGCCTCAGGGTGTCTGCCAGGAGCCTCGTGAATTGCATACCGAAAACCTTGGCCGCCTGGATCCTTTGATCCAACTGGGGAACTACTGGATGCTCTAGAGCCCCCAACTTCGAATACTTGTCGGCCTGCCAATTTCCAGGGTACCAGGAGTCCGAGAAGTTGTGATTCCTGAGCCACGTTCTGCTTTTATGAGACGGCATCCACTGAAGATTCACATTCTCCGACCCCGCATCATACAATTTCCAGAATATAAGTCGCCAGACTTCCCAATACGGTTCTGAAACTCTACACATCTTCTCGGGGCCCTTCTGGAGACCTATCAAGAGGTTCTTCTGATCCGTGATAATGGTCGCCCTGGGCCCCATGAGACATAATGCAATGTAGAACGCGTAATGCTCTGCCAAGCCCGCGCTCTGCACAGGCCCTGGCACTGGCCCGTAGGCCACCGATGACACTTGCTCGCTGCCGTGCTTGAGAGATACGACCGCCCATCCTGCCCTCGTCATCCACTCCACATCTGGGTTGACCCCCGAGCCGTCTATAAAGATCTCTTCGCTGAGGTAGCCGCATCCTAGGAGACCGCGCTGAGGGCATTCGTGATCTTGCAAGGGCGGAGGCATGGCGTCTCTCATATTGTCTGTGACCCCGAAGTCAACTAAGCAGTTGCCAGGGAACTCCCGACCGACCGACACGACATCATCCAAATCTCCTCCTCCTCCTCCTCCTCCTCCTCCTCCTCCCTCCTCCTCCTCCTTGTCCTCCTCCTCCCTCCTCCCTCCTCTCTCCTCCCTCCTCCTCCTCCTCCTCCTCCTCCTCCTCTCCTCCTCCTCCTCCTCCTCCTCCTCCGCCTCCTCTCCTCCTTCCTCTCCTCTCTCCTCCTCCTCCTCCTCCTCCTCCTCCTCCTCCTCCTCCTCCTCCTCCTCCTCCTCCTCCTCCTCCCGACGTCTGAACGCCGACTGTTTGCGTCGTCGGGTCGAGGCGGGTGCATGGCGTCCCATGTTTTCCCTTCCTCAAGCAGTGGCGAAGCGTCCTGGCGTGCCTATAGTCCTACCAAGCAATGTTCGAAGAACCCTTTGTGGTTCCCACGATATGTTCTCAGAACATTCCTGGTTGGGGCTGTCTTGGTTTAGCACATCGGGATTATGGTCTAAGATCATTGTTTTTGTTCTTCAAACATTTTTGGGTTCTACGAACATGTCGTGGTAGGACTATAGGAATGCCGGGACGGTCGGTCTCTGCTCAATTTCCGCTCTTGGACCCGGGCTGGCCTCAATCGCGCACGCTCCTGAGGTACGTTGCGTTCCAGCGTGTGCCGCTGCCGACTCAGAGCCCGTTGAGATCGCGCCTTCGTTCCGTCAGTCGCGCGGTCGGACCGCTAAACATTTGCTTCATTTCGCGAATCCAAGTTGCATCAGACGATGTCGGGTATGACTGGCCAAGTTGATACAGTGGCGCGCTGACGCAACACAACATATTTGCCGCCACGCTGGGGTCCGCCCACCACCGGCTCATTCGGGGCTGCCGCGCTGTGGCTTGGTCAGCAGGGATATTTGTGGGCATGTGTCCCGTCACCCAAGTCCTACCTGCCCTTGCCCCTGGAGAGGGTGAGACGGAGGAGGAGGAGGAGGAGGAGGAGGAGGAGGAGGAGGAGGAAGAGGAGGATCGAGGTGCCATATCTTGAACATGTTAAGTTCGTTTTGCACGGGCCCCCAGATACCACAATGGTCTTCGAGAGACCTCACCAGGCCGCCTGAGACCCTCAGAGAGGAATTTCTCATGGCGCCGGGCCCCTCTCTGACACAAAGGTGTGTGACCGAAAACATTGTGACCAACAAGCGTGCCCGAAATTTCGACTGAAAACGTAATGTGACCGATTTTGTGACCGGAATTGAAAGTCGTATTGACTTCGAGCCAAACATGTCGGTCACAGTCGGGCGTCGTCGGAAAATTTCGGGCGCTGGTTTCGGTCACACTCGGGCGGATTTTCGGGCACAGTGTCGCACAGAGGCTGCGTGACATTTCCTCCTCGTCTGATGGAGCGATTTTCCACCACCTCTGTCATGGGTGCCACCCCTTGGATTGAAAAGTGGTGATCGGCACTATGGCAGGGAACAACCCCTGGGTCTTCGCCAATCGAAAAAAAACTCCAGCTTCGACCTCCGATCGATCCCAAGTAACTCCCAGACAGAGTCGTGACCCGAACGGAGGAACGGCGACGCAGGGGTTTGACGAGACGCGCGGTTGTTAGGACAGCCCAAACGAAATCGCCACTCTTTGGCGGTGTGAAAAGCGGTCGGAAAATACCCTGCGAGGAATTCTCAAGCGATATCGCCGCTCTCAAGCGGTATGAAGATGGATCTGATGTTTTTCCCAACCATCCTGTGGTGTTGGGTCCTCGTTTTGAAGAGACGGTGCCCCGCGTCTCCTACTCCTCTCCTCCTCCCCCTCCTCGCCCTCCTCCCTCCTCCCCCTCCTTGCCTCTGCTCTCGGCACACCCCTCACACGTTTCGTGGCCCCATAGGGAGCTCCACCGAAGGCCCCATGGCTGCCGTCCGCATGCGTCCCGCACACCCATTTCGGCACACCCCTCACACGTTTCGTGGCCCCACAGGGAGCTCCACCGAAGGCCCCAGGCTGCCGTCCGCATGCGTCCCGCACACCCATTTCGGCACACCCCTCACACGTTTCGTGGCCCCACAGGGAGCTCCACCGAAGGCCCCATGCTGCCGTCCGCATGCGTCCCGCACACCCATTTCGGCACACCCCTCACACGTTTCGTGGCCCCATAGGGAGCTCCACCGAAGGCCCCATGGCTGCCGTCCGCATGCGTCCCGCACACCCATTTCGGCACACCCCTCACACGTTTCGTGGCCCCACAGGGAGCTCCACCGAAGGCCCCGTTGCTGCCGTCCGCATGCGTCCCGCACACCCATTTCGGCACACCCCTCACACGTTTCGTGGCCCCTCAGGGAGCTCCACCGAAGGCCCCAGTGCTGCCGTCCGCATGCGTCCCGCACACCCATTTCGGCACACCCCTCACACGTTTCGTGGCCCCATAGGGAGCTCCACCGAAGGCCCCATGGCTGCCGTCCGCATGCGTCCCGCACACCATTTCGGCACACCCCTCACACGTTTCGTGGCCCCACAGGGAGCTCCACCGAAGGCCCCTTGGCTGCCGTCCGCATGCGTCCCGCGCACCCATTTCGGCACACCCCTCACACGTTTCGTGGCCCCACAGGGAGCTCCACCGAAGGCCCCAGTGCTGCCGTCCGCATGCGTCCCGCACACCCATATCGGCACACCCCTCACACGTTTCGTGGCCCCAGAGGGAGCTCCACCGAAGGCCCCATGGCTGCCGTCCGCATGCGTCCCGCACACCCATTTCGGCACACCCCTCACACGTTTCGTGGCCCCACAGGGAGCTCCACCGAAGGCCCCAGTGCTGCCGTCCGCATGCGTCCGCACACCCATTTCGGCACAACAACTAAAATATCCCCTCACACGTTTTCGTGGCCCACAGGGGAAGCTCCACCGAAGGCCCCAATGGTTGCCGCCGCATGCGTCCCGCACACTCCATTCGGCACACCCTCACCCGCTCGTGGCCCCATAGGGAGCTCCACCGAAGGCCCCAGTGGCTGCGCCCGCATGCGGTTCCACCCCCCATTCTGGCACACCCCATCACACGTTTCGTGGCCCCATAGGGAGCTCCACCGAAGGCCCCATGCTTGCCGTCCCCGCATGGCGTCCCAGCACACATTTTGGCCCGGCACAAACCCCATCACACGTTTCGTGCCCCATAGGGAGCTCCACCGTAGGCCCGCCATGGCTGCTGCCGTCCGCCATTAGCGTGTTAAATCATCATCATTTCGCACACCCCTCAACCACGTTTTCGTGGCCCGACAGGGAGCTCCACCACCGAAGGCCCCAGTGCTGGTCGTTCCGCAAGGGGCCCCGCCTGAATACGCCATTTCGGCAACACCTTCTTCGTTTTCGGCACAAAATACAAACCCTCAATACGTTTCGTGCCCAACATAGGGAGCTTCACCACCGAAGGCCCATGGCTGTGGCTGGTGCCGTCCGCAATGCTTCCCCGCACAACATATATATCAAAAAAACACCCATTTCGGCACACACCTCACACGTTTCGTGGCCCCACAGGGAGCTCCACCGAAGGCCCCAGTGCTGCCGTCCGCATGCGTCCCGCACACCAGGTGTGTGGCGTGCCGACATGGGCGTCGCGGCGCGCGGGCGCTGCCGTCGGGGTTCCCAGGGAAGCCCCCTGCAGAGGCGACGCTCAGAGTCACGAGTACCGAGAGTCACGCAGACCCAAACTGTTCACAGTCGTATACATACATTTACACTGGGCGTATCCATGCACGCATTCATGCGAATAGAATCAATCGCGCGCAGATTCATTCATAATCAGACTCGCTCGCGATCCGACTCGCACGCGCTCAAGCTTTCATATTCGGACCTATCGTCTTCGTTCGTGTTGTGTACACTGCCACGCATTTCGGCACACCCCTCATACGGCTCGTGGCCCCATAGGGAGCGCCACCGAAGAAGATATTCACAATTGCGGTACTCTCAACTGCATATGGTTGGGTCATTCGCCAGGCTAATTCTGCGGCAGTCCAACGCAAAATCGCCACTTTCAGATGCCGCGGCAAATTTTCAGATCGCCTTTAAGGCGATCTGATTTGTTTGCGGAAGTCTCAGGCGGAATCACATTTCAGACGCCCATTTGGCCGTTATAATCTTGAAAAGGGTGAGAGATGCATCTGAAATTCCCGACTCGGCCCTGGGTCCAACATTGACCCGGCGCCCCGTGGCCTAACGGGAAGCCAACCGTGTCTTCCTCGATTCCCACGGTCTTTTTTTAACCCAGCGGGTTGTAGAAGAGAGGAGGAGGAGGAGGAGGAGGAGGAGGAGGAGGAGGAGGAGGAGGAGGAGGAGGAGGAGAGAGCAGGAGGAAGGAGGAGGAGGAGGAAGGGGGAGGAGGAGCAGTAAGGAGCAGTAGAGGAGGAGGAGGAGGAGGAGGAGGAGGGGAGGAAAAAAAGAGGAGGAGGGGGGAGAAGGAGGATGAGAAGGAGGTCCTCCCCATCCTGATTTCGCCCCCGTCCTACGTATGGTGGCGTTGGTGAGACGTTGGCCCAGAATCGTCTTCCGCGCACCTGCGTGTGATCCCAGCGGGCAGCGGCCAGCGGTCGTCTCCGGGGCGCGCGGCTCCTGAAGGAGGCGCGACCGCCCGGGTCCCCGGGTCAAAACGGGAGGCTGGCCGTACATCCTCGCGCGAGGCGCCAATTCGTCGCGTCAATTTCCTCCTCCTCCTCCTCCTCCTCCTCCTCCTCCTCTTCCTCCCCTCCGCTCCTTTCCCTCCCTCTCCCTCCTCCTCCTCCTCCTCCTCTCCTCCTCCTCCTCCTCCTCCTTATTCCTCCTGTCTTTCTCCTCCCTCCCCCTCCCTTCCTCCTATCTCCTTCTCCTTCCTCCTCCTCTCTCCTCCTCCTCTCCTCCCCCTCCATCTTTCCCTTTCTCCTCCCTCCTCATTCCCCCTCCTCCTCCCCTGTGGGCTGGGGGGGGTGGGGGGGGGTCGAACTGGGGGGGAGGGTCGGGGAAGGGGGGGGGGTGGGGGGAGAGGGGAGTCCCTCTGGTTCTGTTCGACGGCGCCGGACGTTCGGGGCGGGGGTCCCCCCCGCCCCCCCTGGTGCAAGCGCGCCGTCGAATGTTCCCAAGGCGAGCGCCCGTGGAACGCGTTCCCTCTTACATGGGCACGCCCGAAATGGGTACGGACAGAATGGGGACGACGCCCAAGAACACGCGATGTCCAAAACCGGCAGCGGCCGCTGCTGGGCAGGCGGCCCCCTGTCTCGAGTGGGCGACGTCCTCGGCGATCCGTCGCGCTGTGCGTGTCCGCGCTTCGCTTCCTGAGCCATCGCCGCAGCGGCAGCAAGAAGAGGGAGGGGGAGAGCGAGGGGCAAGGGGAAGGATTGGAGGGAGGTGAAGAGGAGAAGGCGGGAGGGAAGGAGAAGGAGGAGGAGGAGGAAGAGGAGGAGGACGGGCAGGTCGTCCAGTCCGAAGGCCGTCCGTTAGACATCTGACAGTTCCAAAGCCCAGCCCTTGCCTAAAGCCGCCTCACTGCGAGCATCCCACGACGTGGCACCAGGCATCGAGGATGCACGAGCCGCACGCCATGCGAAACAGTGGAAAATGGGCGCGCAGCGCCACTGATGGCTCTGGCGAGAACGTGAGATTCGTCACCCTCCCCGTTTCCCATCTCTTCCCTCTCCCTCTCTCTCCCCGCCGCCTCACGGGGGGAGGAGGGGGCGGCGACAGCTGCCGTACAGGTTCATCGGGACGCTGACCTCGAGCACCTTGGTGGTCTTATTCGGCGACCTTTTCAAAGATTCGCACAACCAGGCCAAGGTTCCAAGTGCGGGAGAACTGCACGAAACGTTGGCCTCTTGCCGTATGGGGAGGCTTGCGATGCGATCGTGCCCACGGCGCACTGCCAGCGCAGCATCGCCAGCGCCCCCTGTTGTGTGGAAGATGTGTGAGCCAATTGGGCATTCAGGAAGGCCGTGAGAGCGAACGTCCCTGTGCTGTTTTCCACGCTGCCGCGCTCAGGCCGCCCTGCTCGGAGCGGGAGAAAAGTGTGCAGTGCGTGTCCAAAGCGATTGGGAGGGGGCCCTCCGGGTGGCCTCCATGGGCTCCCGCGGAGCCCTCTGGCAGCTCGGCATCGCTCGGCGTGTGCATCGAGGATCATCCTTGATCATTTGGCGAACAAGCCACGCACGAAACCGAAAAACGCACAGGGAATGGACGTCCGAGCGATGGCGAGCTGGGGCGTCCGGGGGAGGCCCCCCGGGGCTTCTCGAGAGGCTGGCCTCGCGGAGGCTTTTCCGGAGGGGGGCCCCCACGGGCCGGGCGCTCGCCGCGAGGCCGTGGCGCGGCTCTCCGCGCAGCCCCTCGGGCGCGCGGCCGGCGCTCGGCTTCGGGGCGCCGGCGCGGGGCGCCGAGGCCCTCGACGTCCCCGTACAGGGGGGATTTTCGACGAAGAATAAAAGATACCCCAGAAAGTACCCCAAAAAGGTCAAACAACTACCCCAAAAATAGTCCCAATATTATTTTTGGACTATGGTTTGATTATTTTGAGGGTATTTCCCTACCTAGGCTCTGCCTAGAAGGGTTCTTACTCTCTTAGCTTAAAGGGACCGGGCAGTGCAAAGCGCCCCGGGCGGTTCCCCCAGTCCCCTGGGAGCGGTTCCCCCCAGTCCCCTGGGAGCTTTAGCTTGAGCTTAGCTGTAGCTTAGCTTTAGCTTTAGCTTAGCTGTAGCTTAGCTTTAGCTTAGCTTTAGCTTAGCGTTAGCTTAGCTTTAGCTTAGCTGTAGCTTAGCTTTAGCTTAGCTGTTGCTCAGCTTTAGCTTAGCTTTAGCTTAGCTTTAGCTTATATTTAGATCAGCTTTAGCTTAGCTTTAGCTTAACTTTAGCTTAGCTGTGGCTTAGCTTTAGCTTAGCTTTAGCTTAGCTTTAGCTTAGCTGTGGCTTAGCTTTAGCTTAGATTTAGCTTAGATTTAGCTTTAGCTTATCTTTAGCTTAGCTTTAGCTTAGCTTTAGCTTAGCTTTAGCTTAGCTTTAGCTTAGCGTTACTGTTACTACTAATGCTGCTTTCCTAGGGGTTCCAACTCCTAGGTAGGGTCGCACTGGGATAATTTTTATTTTTCGTCGAAAATCCCCCTGTAGGGGGACAGGCCCGACTTAATTCTAGGCCACGGGCGCCAGGGCACTCGGCTTTGGGGCCGACGGAGGCGCTGTCGCGCAGCCCCTGCTGATGCCAGATTTGCCGTCGGCCGTGGCAGAGTGAGCTTCTGTGCAGCTCGCTGCAGATGTCAAGCAGCATGCTGACTGAAGGTCTGCAGTCCGTTTCGCACGATCCCCCAGGGGGGCCAGCGGATCCCGCACCCCCCAAGGGCGAGTGTCCTTCTCCCCTGATCGGGGTTGGACGCGGTCGGCATCCCGACTGTGCAAGGGGGCGCAGATCGACTTGCCGTTGGTGGGTGCAGGTGGGCAGTCCTGGGCGAGGGGATTGTCACAAATGAATGGAGGGGTCCAGTATTCGTTTGCACGATCTCTTCATCCCAAAAGGTGGCGGGCTGGTGCACCTTCTACTGCCTGGCGATCGCGATCCAGGGCGCCGTTGAATGGGCCATAAAGGGAGAGAGCGAGGACCTGCCGGGCGGGTAAACAGTCCCCGGGCAAGGCAGCGCGCGGGGGAGGAGAGTCAAGCAGACATAGCGTCGCGTCTCTGCCTGATGTGTCGTGACGGGCACGTCTGGCTTGGAGCGAAGTTTCACACGGAGCGCTTGGGGGGACCCCAGTAGTCGGTGGGGATTTGCTCCTACCCCGCTGAGACTTTGTGGGTCTGGTACCGCGGAGTCGCCCGGTGGTGCGTGCCCTTGGCTCGCTCAATGGCTCGCTCGCTCGCTCCTTCTCCGCCTGGTCCTGGCCACCCAGCCCACAACCCGCCGTTCTCCCGCCCGCGTCGTTGTACTCCCCTCCCACCACTGCCTCCCTCCCCCTCGTCCGCCACCCCCTCTCACGCCCACCCTTCCTCCGCTCATCCCCTCCCCTCATCCCCTCCCCTTTCCAGTGCCCGTGTGCCCCATCCCCGTCACCACAGTCCATCTCATTCCTCGCCCCTTATCTCCGAGCAACCCCTTCCCTTACACGCACGCCCCCTCGTCCTCCATTGGAGAATTGTTGGTTTCAGCGAAAACCCTATGGGTCCAAGAGCTCTGGAATCCGAGGGGTTGTCGCAGTCGGAGTGGGCCAGGCGCGGGCGAATAGGAAGAAGAGTAGAGAGGGGAGAGGAACTACAAAAGTAGGTGAATATCGGGAGGAGGAGGAGGCGGAGTAGGAGGAGGATGAGAAGGAAGAGTAGAAGGAGGTGGCAGGAGGAGGAGCAGGAGAAAGATAATGATGATAATAATGATGAGAAGGCGAAGGAGGAGTGGGAGGAGGAGGTAGAGGAGGAATTCTCATACGCACCTCTCCGAGGGAGTAGAGCTCAGAGGCGATTAATGCGCACGCGTTCGCGATTTGTCTGGGCGTTTCGCTCGGGACATCCTCGAAATTCTGAAAATCGGTGGCACCCCTCACGCAGATCGTGACGTCAGGGTCCAAAAACACATAGGAATTTCAACATTTTAACATAAAACCTTCAAAAACACATGGTGCTTTCAATATTTGTGACCCCGATTCTCAGGGAATGGCGGTTTCGCTTGAAACATCTTTCCAAAAATCGAGCCCCAGACCCCGCCTC